ATTAATTATTTAAATAAATTAAATATAATTTTAAAATAATTTTTATATTATTTTCAATTTTATAAAATAATTATTTTATAACTAATTATCTTTTAATTTTAATTTACATTTATTTTAATTAAATTTTAACAAGAGTGCGTTGGTAATTTATTATACTTTCAATTAATTTTATTTTTATTTTTATTTTTTTACATCAATAAACTTAACAACAACCTTGTTATTCATGGTTCTCCCCTTTCACACTCTCTTTTCTTCAATTCAAACATCCTCACCTTCCACTCTCTTTCTCCTTCTTTCTTTCCTTTTCCATTCCATCCCCAACAAAAAAAAAAACGTAGAAATGACACTAAAAAGGAAACGGAGAAAGTAAAATAATATAAATACAAAATCTTGACAAGTTTAAGAGAAAAAGAAAAGGTTCGGACACATAAATTACTGAAAATTAACACAAGGGTAAATGGGGAAAACAGGGTCAAGTGCTTCCTATTGTATTAAACAGGGCAAATGGAATTTAGCTCTTCTCTTTGGTATAGCTCTTTGCCAAGATGTATTAAGGTGAATGCACTCATTAGCATCTTGAAAATATTTCGCAAAAACATATCCATATTACTGATTAATATTATAGTGGTTCCAATGGATTAAATACTGAAACCACATAAGTAAGAAACTTTAATTTATCATACATAACACAATCTATGAGATGAATATATAGCCAAATACAAATGGAGATAATGACGAGTTTCTCCTTATGGTCCAAATATATCATCTAAAATACATGATTAGAAAAACACTCCATTGCAATAAATGATATCAAAAAGACATAACCACATGAATGCATATAGGCAGCACTTTTTTTTTATCAGAAAATGTAAGTTGTTAGTATTTTGTTAATATAAAGACACACAGACCTTTTCAATACATTTGGACGCTTTGGGAAAAAACTTAGTTACATTATATAAGCATTTTTGTATAAGTTGTTTCTAGAATTATTTTCATAAGTCATCCTTGAAAGCATATCAAGATAAGCTGAAAACAACTAGGAACATATCAAACACTATTTTCATAAGTTCTACCATACAGTGTTTATGTGTTCATATTGATAAGCAGTAAATAAGGCCCACTAAGCACAACTTGTGCCTTTGAGAAATAGAACTGCATTGCTCAGAGAGAGAAAAATTCCATGTAATTTAAAAAATCCAGGCATATAACCAAATGGTAATTTTTATATTAAAAGTAAATATCATATAACGGGCATGGGACGAATGTCATTGACTCATTTAATGCAGTACTGAAAGTAAAAAGACATATAGTTTTAGAAATCAAGTATTTTTCCAATAAGCTATGAACACACACACAAAAAATACTGAAGTACTAACAAAGGGCAACTACTTACGAAGAACACCAAGTAGATCCTCTGGGCAAATCCGTGTCTTTACATATTCCTCAGCAATTACAAAGTTCCTGACATACAGTAAAAAAGTGTGCATATATGATATTATACAAATTTAATCAAATGTAAATAAAAATGTTTCCTGAGGAAAAATAATGATACGAACTTGGTGACTAAGTCTTCAGCAAGTTTAACCAATTGTTCATCGGAATCAGGAAATATAACTCTAAATGCACGAACTGCCTCCACAAATTCATGAACAGCTGCCTACATTAAGAAACGGGAACAATGATAATTCATCAATCTTATAACATCAGTTACAAGAAAAAAAGATACATACAAATGGAAGTAAAATAGGCTGAATAGAAGGGGAAAAAGTGGAATTGGATTTGAAGAGTAATAATATTTCATTCATGAATTCCCTTGGCCGATTATTTGACATAACCATCCATGTAATCATTACTTGTTTATTTCCTGTTATTGGCCAACTCCTCAACATTCTTGTCCAGCACATGAACATCAACAATTTTAGAGCTACTTGCATAAATACAATTTTACAAATTCATGTATGAGTAAAAAACCTCACATTGAATAGAAATGAGAAAGTTAAATAATATATAAACACCCATAAAAACAAAGCTTTAAGATTTTGGGTTGGAGGCAGTGTTATGATCTCTTATATAGTTGACTCACGGCTCAGTGGTGATGAATCTCCCAATGTATCCCCTAAAGAATTCCCAACAATAGTATCAGGTATGGTTTGTCTTGGAAAATGGCTTAGATGAAGGTAAGTATGTCTTGTTATAGTAAAAAACAACAATAGTTAGGATCAGGGAAAATGTGTTGAGGTTGATAGATACAAGCATGTTCCATTATGGTAAAACTCAACTCACGCTTGAAAGAGAGATTGTTAGGAATCCAAGTATGAGTTGAAAATTTCACATTGAGTAAAAATAAAAAAGTTGAGTAACATAAGAAAAAAAAAGTCAAACACAGTCTTAAAGTTTTGGGTAAAAGGTGGTGTCATGATCTCCTATATGATGACTCATGACTCATTAATGATGAATCTCCCCAATATATCCTCAAGAAAAATCCCAACATGTATATGCCTAACTGATGCATGAAAACTTAAGATTAAAAAAGAGAAAAATATATTTTAGAGGACTTGAAAGACCCCTCTTATGATCTTCTATTTATAATAATAGAAATCCAATGCAATGAGAATATGAAAGATCAAAAGACTACACTAGACTCCTAGGTACAAAACTAGGTACAACTCATAGGTACAACAGGAAGTAGTTCCCAACACAACTATTTCCTAGCCAGATTTTAATACTTATTCTAACAACTTCAATTTGTGTCACATATTCATATTCAACACTTCAGGACACTAAATCACTACTTATGGATGAAGTATGTAATCTATGGAGTGGTCATACTTTTATTATGACAATAATTTTGGTTGGTGAAGAATATCTTGCTTAAATTGGTGCTCTAGGATACACACATAACCTCAATGTTGTTTTGTCGTGAACATCTTAAGTAGCCAAAGATATGATAGTAAATTAGTAATATCAGATATCATTGGGTAAGAGAGAAAGACAATATACAAAAGGATAATGCTTTGGCACTAGTTACCTCGTGAGCAGAATAGTCTCTGGATGCATTGTTTATTTCTATAGGGTTAAGTCGAATGTCTGTAATAGATTGTTCTAACTTTTCAAATAACTTCGTCTTTAAATTATCCACCTGCCAATAAATTGAAAACCTAGCATCATGCAACATTTATTGATAACACACACAAAAATATGATGCGATTTCTCTCTGAAAGGTAGGGAAAGAGAACATGGCAGTTCTTCAACAGTAAAATTCAGAAAATATTTACTAGTTGATCATATTCCATCATATCTTATCTAGCATGAAAAAAGAAATTCTTCTATTTATAAAAAGTGAACAAACCGGAAAATCCAACTGCTTAAGAAGCACGGCTGCATCAGCTCTCACTTGTATTGATTCAGAATCTGAAAATAGCTTCCCCTGGTTAGAGAGAAAAATGTCAAATCATGATAACAAGCTTCTACTAAAAACAAGAGACTATATATGTATGTTAATTTTAATAGTGACCAATTGAACATTTTAAGTTTTACCGTGTTTGGAAGACCAGATTAGAATGGTGCATAGGGTAAGCTAATCCTATCCAAGTTTACTATGATGAATTCAGTTACTACAAAAGATAGCATCCAGCTATCCATCAATTGTATTACAACTTAGCAATAAAATAAGCCACGATTAATTTTCCGTGATTGCCAAAAAAGGAATAGATAAATAAATTCAGTGTCAACTTGCATTTTAGTTTATGGTTCATGTCCGATCAGTCTGACATAGACGAAAGAACTATACCTGTAAGTTTTTTACTATGATAGCCATTGCTTCCTCAGAAGCTTGCTTACAATCCCGGAATGATGAATCTCCATAGGCCTAATAAAGAAGGGGAAAACGAGATATTCCATCTGAGACCTGGATTAACATGTTGTATGTAAAAATAATAAAGGGATTGAATCAGAAACTATATAGGCCAGGCACAACCTTAAAAATTGGCATTGCTCCAGTATAGAACCTGACGGCATCTGCGTAAGCCTCTGACTTGATGCACTTACCTAGTCTATCGGGTAGATCATATATGAACTACTCTTCGGCAAAGGTGAAAAGTATGTCAGTCCTATTCCATTTCCACAAAAAACGCTCACAACTCATATCACTAACGGATATATGGAACACGAATATTCCAGTGATGCAAAGCCAGAATAAAGAAATAGGTACGCTTGCTTTGATAAGTAATACCTGAACTTTACGAAGAAGATTACAAGTCCGATGCACCTTCTCAATATGCTCCCTTTTGTCAAATAAAGAAGTGTTGACATTGTCACTTCTTGACTGCACAGACATGATCTGCGTTGGAGAAAAATGTGAAGTACCATCAAACTCCCTTTTCTTCCACTTGCTATTTTGATTCTAATATTTTCAACAAAGTAGGTACGTTACGGTTACCTTCTCAAGAAGCTGTTCCATGTTCGCCTCCATCCCTGAAATGTTACTCTTCATCCTGTTCGAAAAGCAAGCATTAGATGCAGGAAATTTTGATACGATAAAGCAAGTGAGGGAGGGTTATATGTATACATGCCTCTTTATAGTGTCTGTTGCACTAATGAACTTGTTGTAATTCTCGTAGACCAGCATTTGCAAGTCGGTGTCGAGATTCTTTATTTCAGCAGCCATTTCAACGTGACGTTGAAGCAGCCCTTCCAAATTGGACTTGTACGCCTGCATAATTCATTCGTTCGTTCAATGAAATCGAGTGAAAGTTCAATTCAAGTTAGTTCAAGTTCGTGTTTCACGATGAGAGTGATTAATTGAAGAAGAGTGATACGATTTTACCAGGATGTTCATGTACTGATCGGGATCGAAGGAGGTGGAATTGATATCGTCAAGGGAAGCGTTTTTGGAGGTGGTGTTGGAGTTGGAAGGGTCTGGTGAGTAGAAACTCGATAGCAGATCTCTCATCCTCTTCGCCTTGTCGTCCATTGGTACTTCATCAGTCCCCATTTTCTTCTTTCTCTTCTCGTTTCCTCTGTTGTGTCGGTTGAACCAACTCCGTTCTCTCTCCGATCTGTGAAATGTAGTGAAACGAGTTTGATCTTTGTTGAAAGTTGAAAGCGAATGACCATGTTCGAGGTGAGTGGAAAACGGGCCTACATGGCTCGTTGGCCCATGTCTAGTTGACCTGGGCTGACTACTCATTCGGAGCTCGATGTCAACGACTGGTCTGGCCCGGCTTTCTTATCCTGATAGATTCACCAAGAAATTAGGTTTTTCTTCCTACACCACCGTTGGATCTAATAAAAGTTCAAATAACCCTTATGAGTTTCGTCCTTCAATTTCTGATAACATTTCTGACCAATAAAAAGTAAAAAATGAGAATTTTTTGTTTGATTATGTAATTTGAAAGTTTATCCTAAATTACTTGATTCGATAGTTTTAAAATCGTATAATTTAGAAAAAAAACTACAATTTTTATTTTCAAAATATGTAATTTATATTGCGTTATTCATTTTTTTTTTTAAATGACACATTAATATTATAGTAAAAGTATGTTTATCTACTTAATGAACTCATTACAAAGAAAAATTATATTTATTTCCCATCAACCAAAAAGGCTGGGAAGTCATTCTTACCATTTATTTTCAAGTCTTTTTAATGTCACGTAAGTTGATGACCTTCGTAAGAGAACTAAAATCTAATAAAACGAATTAAAATGTATTTAAACAATCTATAGTAGAAAAATGTGAAATAGACTTTTTTTTTTATATTTTAACTTATTTGAAGTACCCATATATTAATTTTAGAACAATAGTATGGATAACCAACTCTAAGTAAGTAGATTACCAAATCTATGTGAAGAAAATGTTCAAAAGTTGAAAAACTCATTTGATGTCTCACTTAACCTAAAAAGGGTAAAAAGTAAGAGAGATAGAAAAATAAAAGTCACAAATCACTTAGAACACAAGCATATTGAGAGAGGAGAAGAGAGAAAACTATTCACATAACTACGATTGTAAAATCGGTATAAATAACATGGCATTACACATGAGAAGACTTCTCTTAGAACTCCTCGACTAAATGGTTTAACTGAGAGGATGAACAAAGTAACATCTAAAGTTTTTAAACCAATAAGGACATTATAATTAAAAAGATCTTCTACAAAACAAAATACAAATATAAGTTCACTAAAATTAGTATTACAAATATTTACAAATGATAACTGAAAATAATCATATTTGTCTTAATCCAATTATTCTTCTAGCATTTGCATCTATATTTTTGTTAGTGTGTATAGTTCAGAGGAATAAACAATTGACATTAAATCATAATACATATAACATTATTATCATTAATTTAATTCAAACAATTCATATCATATAAAAAGAAATATAACATAAATTCTTGATGAATTCATTGATTTCACTTTATATTACATTTATAAAGATTCGAATAAATTTTCTCAAGTGGCTGTTTAAGATAAATGAACTAATAATCTACTCATTTAAATCTCAAAGGCTACAGCTCTAAATACAATTAGTAAAATTATTTAGTAGTAACTAATTAGGATAAATGAACTGATATATACTCATTTAAATTTCCAAAATTATACTAATTATAGTAAATCAAATCTTTATTTATCATATTATATATATATATATATATATATATATATATATATATATATATATATATATATATATATATATATATATATATATATATATATATATATATAATTAAAACTTATTCTATAATTTAAACATAAAGTAATTAAATAAAAACGAGATTGAGGTTAAAAGTACGTCACTGAATATAAATATAGATAAATGAAAATGAGGTTAAATGCATCTCACTAAATAAATGAAAATAATAAAAATAAATAAATAAAAATTATTAACCCCTTCTAATAAAATAATAATAATAATAATAATAATAATAATAATAAATAATAATAAACAAAAATAAAGTTATAAATATCTTATTAAGAAAAATAAAATAATAACACTATATAAATAAATTTGAGTTATAGACACCTCACTAATGATAATAAATGAATAAAAATGAGGTTGTAATTAATGAAATAATAATAATAATATAAAAAAAATTATAAACACTGCACCCATAAAATAAGAACAATAAATATAATTATAAACACCGCACCCACAAATTAATGAATGTATTATGTAACATTAATACATTATCTATTAGTTTATAAATTAGTTTAATTAATACAAAGATATTTAATACACAATATTTAATTACTTATATTTTAAGAATTTAATTTATAATGTTAATGGTTTTTAGCTAATTTTTGTAATATATCATTTTAATAACATTAAACTAATAAAATAAAATATTTCATAATAATAATTAAAATAAATAATTTATAGTATAAAATATTTTAATACGTCCCTATAAAAAATATATTATAGAAATATGACATTTATATATTCATACTAAACCAACAAAAATCATATATAAAAAATAATTATTATTTATTTTTCTAGAAGGCTCCTTACAATTTTAACTATCTTTAATAGATATATCTAAATTAAATTTTCATTTGCTCACATCAATAAGGTAATCATTACAAAGAAAAAAAAAGAAACAACACACGGACAAACAACATAAGATGGTAAACTAATTTGCAAAACAAAAATCATATATTAATAAAACATGCTATATCACAAAACAATGTAATCAAAATAATCCACTAGATATAAACCATATAATCGAAAACTATTCTATACTCAATTTTCTGGATATATGCATTGACATTAGATTCACTAGAGGTGTGAACTTGTAGTGACCTCTATTTCTCTGTAGAGCCATTGCTAATGGATTTCACCCTGTCACACATAAGATTAATCCCTTCCACGCTCATAAACTCGAAGCTCCTACTACTATTTGTCATGTAATACATTCTATTCTATTTAAGTATGAATTATTATTAGAGCGTAAGAATACATTCTTACTTGAATCCATACATCAATGCATACACTATACA